ATGGAGTCGGAGTCCACTGTTGGGATGAGCGTCACGGGAATGTCGTTGCATACGCCCTCATGTACTAACAAAGGAGATGCACACTACACAACAACACCACAGGGAGGAGCCGCAGGGGATGATGGGAAGGGTGGGAATGCAGAGGGGTCTCAACATTCTCACAATGTTGAGAACATGACCACGGACGACGAGGATGGGGCAGAAGGCGCTCACTAGGGCGTGGTCGATTCGACACGTGGAGAACAAGAGGGGTGAGGCTGGGAATGGACTTGAGGGAAATTCTCTTCACAGGTAATACAATGTTTTAATTGCGTGCTTGTATACAATTGCGTTGTTTACTTATTTGTTTCCAATCTAAGTTTGTGGGATTTGGCTGTTCCATTGTTTACAAAAAAATTGTGTGGTCAACGAGAGTGTGTTGTAGTATGCATGTGTGTCTCTCTATATTCGTCGAGATGTGGCGATATGTACATGCATGTACGCCTTTGGGGTACAGTGACCAAAGGGGGTAGGAGTCTGGATTGATTGATTGCATACATCAATTTCGTTCATGTAAGTGTAAGATTAAAGAAACATTGATGACATATTTTGAATACATCGTATCCATTGATCATGTTATGGTAAGGCACTTGCCCATGTACAAGGATCTCACCCCCTTTTCCTCCTTGTTTACCCCCCCCTCCCCCCCCCTCCATCGGCCACTGTTTTTTACACCCCCGTCAATGTCGCATTCGTCGTGATTGTCGTGTGCAGTGCAAATTACAACAAAGGATGCAAGAAAATACAAGAGCGGGTGGACGATGCGCCTCGCAACATCGTCTTTATCAGAGAAGGAGATGAAAACACTCTCGCATGTCATTCAGCAATACGGGAATAGGTTTTCAATAGCTAGCACACACAATCACGGGACGAATGAAGTTTTGAAGCTCACTCGAGACGACTTCATTTTACTGGTCGACGAACAAAACTGGTTAAATGATAACGTCATCAACTTCTACCTAAACCTCATCGCACTAAACAACTGTTGTAGAATCGAACACGTAGAATGTCACGCAGAGAAGGAAACCGTGATTAGATTCGGAAAGGGCCGCATTCCTAGAATATGAGTGGTGAGCTCATTTTTCTTCACCAAACTTTTCGACAACGAAATAAGGTATCGAGAGCGAGAGGTGCAACATTGGTCGAAAGATGTCATAATAAGTGACATGAACTTGATCATTGCCCCTTTCCATATCGCACACATGAACCACTGGACCCTCGTTGTGGCTGACTTCAAAAGGAGGAAATTCGAATTTTATGACTCCCTCAGCCCCGACATTCAACTGACAAGGAAAGTGACCGGCGGATTTGCAAAGTGTCTATTCGAAAGATCGATTGAGCAAGGCAAAGAGGTGGACACGAAACCGTTCAATCACATATAGAACATAGAGCGCGTCCCAAAACAATGTGACACGAACTCATGAGGGGTCTTCATGCTCACATACGCATCGCTCTTGGCAAGGGGTCACCTTCCGCCTTTCTCTTTCACCACTGATGGCATAACCGCAATACGTCGTCGACTGGCTTTGGACACAGTGGCTTATGAGTAGTATGTACCTGTTATTGGATATTATGATTACATGCGGACGGATGTGGGTAACATGAAATTGTTTATAACGGAAACCGTGTATACAAGGTGATAAACATTGCTTCATACCCTTACTACGTACCCCTTGCCATTTACCCCTTATCCCTTACTCCTAAACCCCCCACCCCTTACCCCTTACCCCTTACCCCTACACACCCGTACCCCAAACCTCGAATTTCGAATGCAGATTTGACCCAAAATGACCATGAAAATGTCAATTTCAATTTTGTTCAAAAAATATAAAATGTCTGTTTTGAAGAAATCATTGTTGTCCCAACAAACACTGCGCCATGCATCATGTATCCAAGGGACACCGGACCTGGTTTCCCGACCGTGCCGCTCCCCACCAATAGATGAAGCAGCTCGGTAGGCAAGACCTCAATTCCGGTGCTTCTCTTAGAGTCTTAGGGCTACTTTTACGGTCACAGGGATAGTGGCCTTGCAAAAAGGTTTTTCAACAACAAAAAAAGGAAAAGAAAAATAAGAAGAAGTTGCAAGCTGAGGACGAGGCTCCGTGCACTACTCTGTGCATGCACAAAACACCAAGAAAGATGGCAATGTATCTTTGCATGTTCCAGCAGTGGACCGTGCACTACTCTGTGCATGCACAAAACACCAAGAAAGATGGCAATGTATCTTTGCATGTTCCAGCGGTGGATTCAGTCTCATGTTGCACATTTGGAGAGTAGTGCAGGGAGGTCCCATTTTACATATTCCGGAAGGCCGTGTCCAAAAGCTTCCTGACAACTTGTGATTTTTTTTCCGGTCTTCAATTCGAACGACTGTGTGGCGAAAAGAAACTGTTGAAAATCCCTTTTTCGAAAGTCGTGTGGCGAGCCCCATTGTGAGTAGTACCTCAAAAAAACTTCTTTTTGCATCGAATCGCGTGTGATTGCATGGACAGCCATAGCCTCCACTATGGTGCTGGTAACCCCAGCTGCTTAAATGGGGCGGGAGTTAACCCTCTATAGCCCTGTCCCTCCACACACCTACACAATCCTACATTGTTACTCAAAAGCTTCAACAAACATCATGAATCCTCCAAGACGTAGCCGCATGACTAGGAGCATACACGTGGCGAAGAGGGTTGTATTAAACCACCGCTACCTTCGAGCCTCTTTTTGCACAGGCAGAGTCACACTGCACGCCAATGGGTGCTGAAGCGCAAGCGTGGCGTTTTTTTTTTTTTTTTTTTGGTCTCGCCAGCCTGTAGTCCAGTAGCCCTAAGGCCCTAAAGATTCCGGATGAGGCTCAACTTCGACTTCATGTTTGTCTGTGCAGGGTAGTGGTGGTTTAAGTCAAGAACTACCTATTGTATGAAGGACTATAAGGAACCACGATTGAGAAATAAACATGTGGCAGCAGTGCTGAACTCGGCCTTTATGAAGGCAGTGGGAGTGTCATGAGCCGTGGTGCGGTGTTGATAAAAGTGTACCAGAACTACATGGAAGCAATTAGCTATTCTTCAGGCGTGGCCTGCCAGAAATAAGCAGAAGTAACCAAGCATTCTTTTGACAAGGAAAATACATGTAATCCGCCATTGATTTTCGAACAGAACCAAGGTTGCACATGAAATAATAAACATTTAATTTAGGAAAAACCTGTCAGAGTGATCATAGCAGGGCTTACTGACATGGAAGTCTAAGCACCTAGTGACCTAGTATGACACAATGTTAGGAAATAATGAAGCAACGTGACATGGCGATTAACCTACCACACTATTCATTTGATGCAGAGAGCAAGGAGCAATATGTGTCACTCCTGGGTGTTCTTTATCCTACTTCCCAGACTCTCTTTACATGAGCTCAACCGTTTCTGCTTCTCTGCAACCTATGTATCACCCCCGGTCATGACCGCGGACCATTTAATCTCACGCGGTTGACATCCCGACCGTAGCGGGCGGCGCCCGCAACCAAGTGCGGTCAGAAAACCCCGATATTTTTAAATCCTAGGATAATAGGCCAAAAACAAATAAACAAATATGTCGTTGTAGGTTTTTGTGCGCTCTACAACCGTATATTTTTAGGTTTATTTTTTGACTTCGTTTTTTATTTAAAAAAAATGAAAAACAGAAATCCCTTAGGCAAAAATTCTTCACTTTATTGTTTTACTAAGAAAAATAATGGATTTTGTTTGATTTTTATCTCAAATTCGGTAAAGAATTTGGATATGACCCCAAGGCAAACGTTTTTCAGTTTATTTTTTGGCATAACATATATGTTTTTCAGATTTTTCTGTTCTTTTTGTTTTTTTTTTTTTTTTTTTTTTCATGACCGCGGACTGCAGTCATGACCGCGGTCCGCAGTCATGCCCGCGGCGACCGCGACCGCGGGGGATTCATAGTGCAACGGTACTCCACCGTCTCCAAAATTTTTGTCTCCTCTTCCTCTCAAAGACCAGTGTCGCGCATCCGTTGTCTGATCCTATCCACAAACCCCCAGAGGGTGAGGGGGGATGAACCGTCCCTGTCCATATCACGCAACAAGCTATACGCCAACTGCATGACATCCTGTACAGGGTGCGCACTCTCCCAAAGCAAGTCGGACAACACAAGCTGTCGAACGGGGCGCTCATCCTGGGCTGCCTTCCCCTTCCATGGGGTGGACCGCCATCTCATGCTGCCTACGACGGACCTCAATATGCGCTCCTCATCGATGAGGCGCTCAACCATCTGGTATGCTGACCCGGACCGTGGGTCACATGGTCCGATCAGCTCCTGCTGCCCCCGCTCCTTAAAGGACCGATGATACGTGAGGGTTTTCTGAATGTTCTTGAAGAACATCACACTCTTGTGTGCGTTCTTCAAGATGGGCCGCACCCACTCAAAGCATGTGATGTCTCGCAGTGGGAGACTCAAGCAATGGGCCCATTGGGTCGCACATGGGAGCCAAGGGATCCGTGAGATGCTACAGTCTGAATGATCCTGCAACCGCTGTGCAGCCACCTTATTAGCGTAAGCATTGTCAGTGCAATACGCATTGACAACGTCGACGCCAATATCTCGGATCACCTCCTCCCACAAATCCGCCAGTGCCACACCAGTCTTGTCCCTTTCCAACATGTCGACGGTGGTGGTCAAGACTGGCTAGTCCTCGCCCGCTGCGATGAAGTTGACGACGGGCTTGTACGACCTCGTCGTAACCCCATCCGTCATCATGGTACAACCCGTGAGCTTCCATTTCGCCTCATTGGGCGTGACTCTCTCTGCGAATTTGTGGTAGATCTCATCGAGGAGCCGTGTGCGCATATCATTGTACGAGGGCAAGACCAAAGATGGCCCACTCGTCACCCTCATCAATAACACCATAAAGTCGTGCAGTTCCTGCGTGGTCTCCAGACGCATAAAAGAGAAAGGTACCCCCCCCCCCTAAACAACGCGCCCGCCCATGACAACGCCCGACGGCCCAGATGTGCCCTCTGTCCTGACCCACGTCATGTCGACCCTCGACCTCAAACACTGTCGTAAACTGCACTGCGCCTGGGTCGCCCCTCGCCCCGCCTCGAGGACTTGTATCCTCTCTCTGAGCATAGTCACCTCGTCCTCTGCTGAAAAACCACTAGCCCATCCCTCATCCGTCGAGGTTGCATTCGCCCCTCTCGCTCCTGACTCGTTACCGTGGCTAGCATTTCGGTCCTTTGCCATGCGTGCAACGGAGGCAGCCGCCTCATCGGCCCTCCACAGGTCCTCAATCTCCAGCTCCTCTTCACGGACGTCCATGTGCTTCTCTGCCATCGACCTCCCCAAAGGGTCTGTGATGGTGGCCCCGTCTCTCATAAACTTGTACAAGATCTCTCCTGTACGGAATCTACAATGCGCACCTAGGCGGGTGAAGTGGTCCTCTGCCTTCGTCCGCGCCCCGACCCAAACCTGGTTGCACGACGTGCAACGCAACTTGTACTGCCCCTTTCCCCGCACTCCCACCTCCTGCCCCTGACACACCCATTCCCATACTGCATGCTTCCCTTGCAGGTACCTCTGCCGACTCTCATCGGCCTCCTGGATGGGCGCATCCCCATCCGAGAGGCAAGTGAACCTCCCTCGTGTTCCAGGTTGCGACATCACTCAACCACCTCTCTCTCTCTCTATCTCTCTCTCTATCTCTCTCTCTCTCTCTCTCTCTCTCTCTCTCTCTCTCTCTCTCTCTCTCTCTCTCTCTCTCTCTCTCTCTCTCCCCCCCACAAACAATCCATGTATCTCGCTCTCTTTACGCGTTTCTTCGAGTACGAAGTCTACATTAGTTCTCTGATTGATTGAATGTTTGATTGATTGAGTGATGAATGAATTGATTGATTGATTGATTGAATGACCGACTAATTGATTGATAGATTGATTGATTGATCAAACGATTGGCTGCTCGATTGAAGGAATGATTGATTGATTGGTTGGTTGATTTTTTGATTGGTCGATTGATTTATTCTTTCATTGACTGGTCAATCAATCAATCAATCAAACAATTAGTCGACACCGAAGTCTAACGGATAGAATGATTTATTGAATAATTATTGGATTGATTGATTGATTGATTGATTGATTGGTTGATTGGTTGATTGGTTGATTGGTTGATTCAACTTGATTGATTGATTGATTGATTGATTGGTTGGTTGGTTGATTGATTGATTGATTGATCGGTTGGTTGATTGATTGATTAATTGATTGATTCGTTCTTTGATTGATTGATTGATTGATTGATTGATTGATTGATTGATTGATTGATTGATTGATTGATCAAACGATTGGCTCCTCGATTGAAGGAATGATTGATTGATTGATTGGTTGATTGTCTGATTGATTGATTGATTTATTCTTTCATTGACTGGTCAATCAATCAATCAATCAAACAACCAATCAACACCGAAGTCAGACGGATTGAATGATTGCTTTGCAATCAGACTCGTTTAATTTATTACTTCACATGCATGTAAACAAATGACACACAACACAAATGATAAGCGTTCACTCAAAGCTCAATGATATGGCAACGGGGAACACAGTTCAAGTGCAAACTCGCTTCAGATAGGCTATGGCGCAATCGCGCCCAACAACTCTCTGTTCGTAACTGTGCCCAACTCCACCGCTCATATGCACTTAACTCTGGATCACCCGGGATATCCCACATGCAACACACTCGTCCTCACTCACTCCCACACGCTACAACTAACCCAGCTATGGCCATCGTGGCAGCCGGTTACTACTAACTATGGGACACTATCTTCTTTGCAGCCCACTTCTACCACGGGCAATAGCAGACCTCCTCGCACAAGATGTTGTGCAGCGCTTCCGCATGGCTCATGCAACACCGAATTAATGGCTGGACGCTGCCTCTTGATTTATACTTTTGTTCATTGCTGGTCTGCCCTTTTTCACCTCCTGCCCCTGGTTCACACAGTCCCACATGGTACTTGCAGTAAGTTGCAGACTGGACTAAGTGAGACTGGGACTGGGTACTGCTGACTGAGCAAGGGTGGACTTCACCACTTGTTCACTTGCCTCTAGTCTGGTGTGAGCAACGTTTGAAGGGTCACTTCTAGACCTTCCGGAAGTCTGTGGACTTGGCCTTTCGACACTATAGCAGCTACGACCTTGACCTTTAAGGACTGTAGCAGCTACAACCTTGACCCTTCAGAACTACTACAGCTACGTCCTCTACTACAGACTTCACCCCTACTCGATAGAAATACAGTTCAAGACCCGACGACTACAATGGTCTACGACAGACAACAACTGACTCCTGGGACAGAGGTTACGGGTACAAACACACATGGGTACTGTATACGGGTGACCAAGGTCAAGGGATCCGGGCCCAGGATCTACATCCGCTACTGCAAAGGTGAAAACCGTTTAAGATTGATTGATTATGAGATTGATTGATTGATTGGTTGATTGATTGATTGATTGATTGATTGATTGACTAATTTATTGATTGATTGATTGATTGATTGGTGGATTGGTTGATTGGTTGATTGGTTGATTGGTTGATTGGTTGATTGAATGATTGGTTGATTGATTGATTGATTGATTGGTTGGTTGACTGATTGATTGATTGATTGATTGGTTGGTTGATTGATTGATTGATTGATTGGTTGATTGATTGATTGATTGATTGGTCAAGTAATCAATCAATCAAACAATCAGTCAACACCGAAGTCTGACGGATTGAATGTTTGATTGATTGATTGTGGGATTGATTGGTTGATTGATTGATTGATTGATTGATTGAATGATTGATTGATTGATTGATTGATTGATTGATTAAGAAAAAAAAAGGTTCAGGGGCTCGGCGGCGGGAGAGGGCGTTTGAGGCGAGACTGCATGCATCCCGCTCCCGTCACTCGGTGCCCTCCCCCCATGACACCCCTTCTACCTCCTCCTCCTTATCCCCCTCCTCCCGCCTCCTCTCCCACTCCTGCTCCTCCCTCTCCTCCTCGTCGTCCTCCATCTTTTCTTCATTGTCGTACCTCAAGCCGTCGTCCTCCTCTTCTTCTTCGTCGTCGTCCTCCTCCGCCTGTTCTTCCTCCTCCTCCCCCTCGTCATTCTCATTCTCGCACTCCTCCTCCTCTTCTTCGTCCTCCTCGTCGTCATCCTCCTCCCCCTCCTCCCCCTCTTCCTCGCCGGCAGCAGCCCTTTCCTCCTCGTCTTCCTCCTCGTCCTCCTTGGCCCTTTCCTTCTTCCAACCGGCGCCCTCCTCCCCTAACCCCTTTCTCGCCTGATCCTCCCTGTCCGCCTCCTCCCTCCTCCTCTCCTACTCCTCCTCCCCCTCCTCCTCGTCCTCCTCCGCCTCTTTTTTGTCCTCTTCCTCCTCCTTGCCCATCTCCTCCCCCGTCCTCTCCTACTGCTCCTCCCTCTCCTTCTCATCCTCCTCTGCGGAATAAATTTGCACGTTTGTATACCAACTAAGTGACCCACTATTTTTTTTTTTTTTCAATCAATCAATCAATCAATTGAAAAAAAAACGAAAAAGAAAGTATCTTATCGAATAAATCGATTCGATTGGATCTTGATTTTGAAATCAAAATCCAATCGAATCGATTTGTTTAGATTGGATACTTTCTTTTTCGGATTTTTTTTTGATTGATTGATTGATCGGTTGATTTATTAAAAAAAAAAAAAAACGGTCGGGGGGCTGGGCAGCAGATGAGGCCCATCATGAGGGTGGTCGAGGCGAAACTGCCTACCTCTGACTACCCTCACTCAGCGCCCTCCTCCTCTGACCCCCCTTTCACCGTCTCCCAGCGTGGCACCCTGGGCCGCGGATCCTGCGGCCCAGTCCGAGCCGCGCGGCCTAGGCCGCAGGCCGGCGGCCTAGACCGCGCGGCCGAGTTCCCGAACGGCCGCGCCACGGCCCAGTGGGGGCGCGCGCGCGCGGCCGGCACACGTCGGCCGCTCCTGGCCTGCGTAAAAAAAATTGAAAAT